CTAGACATGTCATCCTGGATGTCTCACACCCATCTCAAGCTAGACATTTCCAGGATGGACTTCATTATCTTCCCAGTCCAAACCTGTTTGTTCTCTAAACTCGATAGAATTTCCATTGAAGGCACAATCATCCTCTCCAGAAACTAGGTTCAAAAATCTTGGGGTTATAATCTTAGAGTCTACTCTTTCTGGTACATCCCCGCCCCCATCCAATTAGTTGCCACATCTTGTCTTTACTACATACACTTCCCCTCGACCATCTAGAACTTTCTCTGCGTTCATGTTCAGTTCCTCATCATCTCTCTCAGACTACTGTAACAGCCTTTGAATATTTCTCCCTTCTTCTAATCTCTTACCACTCCAATCCATCCCAGCCACCAAAATAAATTTTCCTCAGTCACAGGTCTGGTCATGATGCTTTCATTCATTGACTTTCACCAGCTCCTTCCTACATCCTCTGGGATAAAATACAAACTTCTCAGCTTGACTTTTAAAACCTGGCACACTCTGACTACAACTTAACCTTTTCTGACTTATGTCATGTAACGTGAGTTTTTAAAACTCTGCATTCTAGCCAGCCTATTATCAAATTTCCTAAATTTGTCATACCATTTTCAGTCCTTCTCACCTCAACCTCCCCAAATCCCTATCTCCTTCCAGGGAGCAATGTGAGTTACTTCCCTTATTCCCTTCCCTACCCCAGCCTGCCCCCTCCCCTTTGTTAGAGTTCTTTCTCGTCCTCTTCACTTCACCTTGTAAATCCTTATGTGGGTTTAGCGTTTGTGCGAGAGATAACATGGCCTAGTTCTAAAGAGCTAACCTTGGAATTAGGAAGATCTGGGTTCACATTCTGCCTCTGACACATAAACTTATTTGTGTGAACACAGGCAAATCACTTAACCTCTCAGTATCTCCAGCACCTCTCTAAGACTAGAAGTGATCCACAAGTTGTTTATCTGCATCAGCAAGCTCTTTGTACTCTGAATTCACAGGAATGGACCAAACAGTATGCCAAACCCCTTTTTGTGTAAACCCCCCAGGAGCATGTAAAGGACCTTGGAAACAAGGGCTGTTCACTTTTTGTCTTTAAATTCCCAGTGCCCAGCTCAGCACTTAATGTTTTTGTTTTATTAAATTCAAGAGTGAAGTTTTGGGGGGGAAATTAAGGCTGGATTAGGAGTAGCAGGTTAATCTCTGAGAATGGTTGAGTTCTTAGAAGGAAAAAAATATGGGGGAAAAGAACAGCTCTTTGCCACTACAAAGAGTAGTTATAAATTTGGGGTATATATGGGATCATGTGAAAGGAAGGTATAGGCTTCTTTTTATGTTCCTCTTATGGTTCACATCTTAAAGCTCGATCTTTACAATGCTTCAGGAAAGTTAATCAAATCAACAAATACTTATTTAACCTGTTATAATGGTAGTGTACTTAGAAAAGTGTTTGCTGTTGATAAATTGCTTTAATATGACATATAGTCCTCAGAGTAAGTTTGTGAGGGGTTGGTATGCACATCTTGATAGTGATGAATTATCCATCATTAGAGGTTTTATATGTCAAACATAAATGTATCCCTCAATTGATTGTCCATCTGTGCTCAGAGGCAGCTAGGTGATGCAATGGATAGAGTGCTAGGCCTAAAGTCTGGAAGATTTGAGTCAAATCTGGCTTCAGACTAACTGTGTGACCTTGGGCAAGTCACTTAACAGTTGTTTGCCTCAGTTTCCCATCTGTAAAATGGGAATAATAGTAGTACTTCTTTCCCAGGGTTGTTATGAAGGTCAAATGAGATAATTTTTGAAAAGGGTATAGCACAGTGGCTGGCACATAAGATCAATCAATAAATATTTATTAAGCACCTATAGTATGCCAGGCACTGTGCTAAGACCTGGGGATAGAAAAAAAGGCAAAAGATAGTCCCTGCCCTGAAGGAGCTTATACTCTAATGGGGGAGACAACATGCAAATAACATATACAAATAATATATACAAAAGTACATGCAAAGTAAGCTATATGCAGAATACAGAATAAGTAGGAGATGATTAACAGAGGATAGGTATTAAGATTAAGAGGAGTTGTGAAATGTTTCCTCTAGAAGGTGGGATTTTAGTTGAGATTTAAAGAAACCAGGGAGGTGTCAGTAGTCAGAGCAGAGAAGAGAGAGGGTTCCAGGTATGGGGGCAGCCAGGGAAAATGTCCAGAGACAAGAGAACAGACTTTTTGTTTGTGGAATAACCAGGAAGTCAATGTCACTGGATCAGAGTAGATGTCCAGGAATGAGGTATAAAAAAACTAGAAAGGCAGGAGGGGGCTGGGTTATGGAGGGCTTTGAATGCCAAATGATGTTTTTGTTTGTTTTGTTTTGTTTTGTTTTTAAATATCCTGGAGACAATAAGAAGCCACTGGTTTATTGATCACACCTGCACTTTAGGAAAATTACCCTAGTGGCTCAATGGAAGAGCGATTGATTGGAGTGGGGAGAGACCCACCAGTAATCCATTGTAATAATCCAGTAAGGAGGTGATGAGGGCCTGTACCAGAGTGGTGGCAGTGTCAGAAGAGAGAAGGGGACATATTAGAGCTGGCCGTGGCAACAGCTTGAATAAGGGCGTGGGGTGGGTGATGGGATTGAGTGAGGAATCCAGGGTAACTTCTTGGTTTCAAGCTTGAGGAACTGAGAGGATGTTGCCCTCTAGAGTAATAGGAAAGGTGTAGGGGGTGGGGTGGGGTATCAGGGGTAAGATTGTGAGTTCTGTTTTGGACTCATTGAGTTTAAGATGTCTACTGGACATTTAGTATGAGATGTCTGAAAGGCAGTTGGAGATGTGAGATCTGAGGTCAGCAGAGAGTTTGGGGCAAGACAGGTAGATTTGAGAATCTTCAGCATAGAAATGGTAATTAAATCCCAATGAGATCACCAAGTGAAGTAATATAGAGGGAGAAGAGAAAAGGGCCCAGGACAGAACCCTGAAGCACACCTATGTTTGAAGGGTATGATCTAGAGGAGGATCCAGCAAAGGAGACAGAGAACAACCGGGAGAAAATGGGGTTCTGAAAACCCTAGGAGAAGAGGATATCGACGAGAGAGAGATACAGAGAGGCCAAGGAGAGTGAGGACTGAGAAATGGCCATTGATTTAGCAACTAAGAAATCACTGATGACTTTGAAGAGGACAGTTTTTGTGGACTGTTAAGATCAGAAGCCAGGGTTAAGAAGCAAGAGGAGGGAAAGTGCAGGCACCTATTTTAAATGGTCTTTCTGAGAAGTTTAGCTACAAAGGTCAGAAGAGATATAGGAAGATATTTAGCAGAGATGGAAGGATCAAGTGAGGGTTTTTTCAGGACGAAGAAGACTTGGTCATGTTGTGTGGTGTTGTTCAGTAGTGTCTGACTCTTCGTGACCCTGTGGATCATACTGTCCATAGCGTTTTCTTGGCAAAGATACTGGAATTGTTTGCCATTTCCTTCTCCAGTGGATTAAGGCAAACAGAGGTTAAGTGACTTGTCCAGGGTCACACACAGCTAGTAAGTGTCCTAGGCTGGATTTGAACTAGGGTCTCCCTGACTCCAGTCCCAGTGCTCTTTCCACTAAGATACCTAGTGCCTAGCTGGTCATGTGTGTAGGCAGTAAGACATGAGCCAGTAGACAGGGAGAAATTGAAAATAAATGAAAGAGTGGGAATGAAGGAGGGGGCAATCTATTAGAGGAGATGGGATGGAATGGTATCACTTGAACAAGTAGAGGGGTTAGACATCATATGGGATGGGGTGAAAGAAGAAATAACGGCAGAAGGCATCTGAGTGATAAGTGGAAAGGCAGAGGGGAGAAGAGAGAGCTCACAGTGAATGGCTTCATTTTTTTTCCGTAAAATTTGAGACAAGGTTCTCTGCTGAGAGAGTGGAGGAGGAGCCGCCCTGGGAAGTTTGAGGAGGATTGAAGAGGTCTGGAAGAGCCACTGTGGGGAGTGGGGTAGTGAGGTGATAAGGGAGGTATAGTAGGATTGCCTAGAAGCAGTGAGGGCCCAGTTGAGGTTGTATAACATCAATTTGTAGCGGACCCAGTCAGAAAGTTGTGTGTTTTTCTCCACCATCTTCCAGCACATGTGTAGGAGCAAAGGAGATGAGTGGTGGGAGTGATCCAAGGCTGAGGGTTGGCTGGGCATAATCAACAATATGATAAGAGGGCTTAGGAATTCAAGAAAGGGCAGGGTAGAATTGAATTAGTTCACTAAGGGATCAAGATAGGGAGAAGAAGAGAAAGTGGCTAGTGCTGGGGAGATGACCTGGGAGAGAATTGAGGGATGAAGGGATTGGAGCTGACGGTGCAGAAGCCAAGTAAAGTATGGTTTGGTAAGGAAAAGCAGAGGGAGAGGTGAAAAGCCAAGAGATTATGACCAGATAAGGGAATTTCAGAATTCTTGAACATAGAGACAGTACATTTGTGAGTCATGGCAAGATCAAGGCTATGACCGTCTTTCTGTGCGCTGAAAGTGATGTGGAAGAGTAATTCCTGGGAGGTGAGCAGGTTGAGGGACTGAGTGGTTAAGGTGTTTGAGGGAGAATCAGTATGTATGTTGAAGCCCCCTAGTATGAGAGTAGGAGTTGGGAAGGAGAGGAAAATTTTGAACCAGGTATCAAATTCATTGAGGAAGGAAGGGAAGTGATCTGAGGGTCTGTAGATAATAGCTACCAGAATTTTGATTGGGTGGTAGATATGAATGGTAGTCACTATATAACTGCTAGTTATTGTGATGATAATGGTAACATAAGGTTTTTAACTGGGTCCCATCCCACTAAATGTTGATCAGTTTTGATTCAGTTAAAAAGAAGAACTTATGAATAGCAGACCTGAACTCTTTGAGGTTGATTATCTTAGAGGCTAGGATAAGGAAATAGAAACCGATGAGCCAGCAACCTTTGGAAAGAAATGATAATTGCCATTTTGGTTTCTGTTTGTCGGCTTCATTACCTTTGATTCTTGTTTCTGTTTGATTATTTCCTAGGAAACATTTCAGACTCAAGGAAGTCCTCTACAGAATCCAGCAGCTATTTCTCCATCACGATGGGCCCAGTCTTTCCTCACAAATGTTACATTCTTGAAGGTGGCTCTTTGGTTGGTCTTACTGGGACTGTTTGTAGAACTAGAGTTTGGCCTGGTTTATTTTGTTCTGTCCTTGTTTTATTGGATGTATGTCGGAACCCGTGGCCCTGGAGAAAAGAAGAAAGGAGAAAAGAGTGCTTATTCTGTGTTCAACCCTGGCTGTGAACCCATCCAGGGAACCCTGACTGCAGAACAGTTTGAGCGAGAATTACAGTTTCATCCCCTGGCTGTGGGATAGTCCTTGTTCTCCTGAGTTTTCTGCCACCTCAGTTTTCTTGGACTACCTGGGGCTGGACTGGACTGAAATCAATATGCAGATACACTAGGGGCAGTCTTTTGTCCGTGAGTGTCAATTTTTTGTTCTCTGAACTCTGTTCTCTTATCCATCCTTCCACCTCTCCTTTCCTATGTCTCCTGTTGTAGTACCAATGTCTTTGTTTGCATTTCCATCTTTAAATTTTCTTTTTTTTTT